GTACCCAATGCGTTTCTCCAGCTCTTTCGTTGTTGTCGCACTCGCCGTGTTCGCTGCTGGTGAGCTCCTCGTATCACCTCATGTCCTGCAAAGGCTCAGAAGATGAATAGCTCATCCTGGTGGCGGCCATGATTACGGTAGCACACTAGACAGGGCTCAGAAGCAGGCAAGCACATGTCAAATGTTCGGTCGCGTCTAACAATCGACTGAACTGTAACCAGTTTGAAGCCAATTTCCGCAACAGCCAGGCCCTCAAATGCGCTCCAGCCATCGCGACCTTCGAGACGCAGCGCATGCTCAAGAGGAGTCACCTCAGGAAGAGGAAGAGGCAGCTCCCTACCTCCGAGTCAGCTCCGGCGCCTCATTACGACAGGATTAAAAATGTTAGTGCTGCTCTTCTGCACAGGCTTAACACACAGGTGAATGCTGACCTCTGCCTAGACGACCTGCGTGATGGCTCCTGAGGTCATGGAAGGACCGTACTATATTAACAACGAGTATGTCCGCACTGACCTGACCGAGACCCAAGCGTAAGCATGTCCTCCATTGTATAACTCGCTGCTCATCCTGTATATCTCGACTAGCGGCGTCAAACTTGTCTTGGACATCGGTGTAGTCGACATCGTCACCTGCACGCCTCTCCCTAACGCCTTCGTGGAGCTCTGGGCCGGTGAGTACTCGAAATATCCACTGTCCACCTCTACCTACGTCCAACCGTCTTTGCAGCCAATGCGACTGGCGAGTATGGAGGGTACCCAGCTGGTAACCCCACCCATGTGCACACCGAGACGTTCCTCCGCGGCGGGTACTACACAAACGCCAACGGCATAGTCGAGATCACGACCCTCTACCCGGGGTTTTATGAAAGCCGCACGGCGCACATCCACACTATGATCCACAAGGACTGGCAGCAGCATGCCAACGGGTGCGTTGCTCGCTTCCCGCTCTCCACATTTGAATATCTAATCCGCTTTTGCAGAACGCTCATCTCGCAGTCTGGAAGCCTCGTGCACGTCGGCCAGTTCTTCTTTGAGGAGACGTGGAACGACAAGATCTACGAGACCTTGCCCTATACCACCAACAAGCAACCTCGCACTCTCAACACGGAGGATGAATTGATCGAAGGTGCCAATGGCGGCGGATATAATGCTTTCATTGAGTAAGCGCCAGTCACTTGGTGAACATTGCATATGCTCATGTTGTGTTTATCTAGCCTTGAGTTACTCGGTGATGATATTTCGGAGGGTGTCCTGGGCTATATTAGTGCGTTGTCATGTTCTCTTGACTGCAGTATCCTTAGTATACGTTTTTCTTTTCAGCTGTCGGTGTCGACACCCGCAAGTCTTACCCAATCGAGAACAAATATTCGTTGTGATAGCTCTGTATATATAATAATCGACCTTTTTTTGCTCCTATTGTCTCCATGAGATTGCGATGGTAAGGTACAAGAACGTGCCCATTTAGCTCGTCGCTCTCACTTGCCCGCCAAGAGTGACAGGTGATTCCTTGTTCGTATATACGCGTAGCCCTAGGAAGATGATATCGCCTTCCGCAGGGTCAGACGTGCGAGGGCCGTCATCAGAGTCGTCACTATTACCGCTCTCCGAGCCACCCCCCTCTGTATCAGACTCAGGTTTGGCATCGCCGTCTTCCTGGTCCTCACAGGTTTGTTGAGTGATTGGATCCGCCTCTTCCTTTCCTGATAGCTCAGGCTCAGGTTCATCTTTTCCAACAGCCTCTTCCTTCCCAGATATCTCTTCCTTTCTAGATAATGCAGGCTGAGCCACGGGGGATCCAGAGTCTATGGAAGCCGTCGCGTCATCCGCAAGTTTCGGGCTCTCCAACCCAAAGGTCAGCGCAGCTATTGTGCCATCTGCAGTGATTTCAGAAAGGTCACGTCCAGCGATATTGCTCAGGGGAACTGGGAGGTATTTCGATCCGTTTCTGAGAAGTTTGGAACAAATCAGTAGACCATCCAACGATCGTTTGAAAGAGAAAGGCATACTTCATGTCAAAGTCTGAAAATAAATGAGTCAAGGAAACGATTGCGTGCAGATGGGACGTACTGCATGCGATTGATTGGCTTGTCATTTTTTCCGTCAACACGCGTGCGTAGATGCGGTCGGACCAGCTCTCTAACCCTGCCTCGACATAATTCTATGGATTTGGATGATCATTAGTCTCTTTGGTTATATCCCACCGAAGGCCTCACCTCTGGCCGATAGATAACGCGATCCAGGCGAACCTAAACAATATATGAGGTCAAATCTCTGAGAACAAGAGAAAGCGACGCACATGTACGACGTAATCCCCCCCTTCGAGCTCAATCTCTGCATTTACGCTTCGGGAACCAAAGGGGGAGGTGGAAGAGGTTGTGACAGGAGACGTCTCCCCCTTTCTAAATACGATGAAATCAAAGGACCACCTCGCCCGACCCGAGATCGGCTGGAAGTACCTATCATCGAGCTGAGAGAGTACGATAATAGACGAGGTTGTTGCAGGAACTGAGATCGTGACTGCAGAAAATTAAATTATCGTGGATTGATAAAGTTTCAAGAATCAACGTACACGAGATGTCTCCATATCCCCAGGCTGAAGGTAGGGGCCGTGCAGGCACTTTAAGCCATATTGATGACATTGTCCACGATGAATCAAACAAAAGTGTACGATCAACCCGATCCCAGTTCTCCAGGAAGTCTTTGTCTACAGAAAATATTCGATTAATCAGACACGACACCTAGGTCGAACCGAGAGCCTTACATTCCATCACGAATTGGCCATCGTTACCAAATGCGTGTCCAAGTTCCGGTAGCACAGAGAGCCACTCTGGAGTCCATTCCTTCGATCCGTCCGACCAAGCACCTGTCCACTCGCTTTCCCCCCACGGATTGCGAATGACGACGAACCGTTTCCCTTGTGCTTCCACTGCGCGCAGGATAGAGTAAGCATGTGCCCCAATCAAGCCGTTGACTGTTGCGCCTTCTTCTCCGCTTCGGCTAGAGTCAAGGTTGTTGAACGAACAGCCGAAAAGTCGGTCAGTGTTGGCCAGAAGAAGTTCCTCGTTCCAGAATCTATCGGGGTCCAAAACATCCTAATTTCGTTCGCCCACTGAGATTGAAGTTTTGTAGAATATGGAATACTTACCTTGGTATAAATGAAGCTAGTGACTCCACTATAAAGGATCTTGCATGTGAATGGACAATAATATGTTGTAAGAAAAGACAAACCCAGTTAAATCTTCGATTGCCTCGCCAGCCTGACCTCCGTTCAAAGTTGCATAGCTACCGTGCAGTTTTGCGTATGCCTTTTCAATGAGTGGCACCCAAGTTTCTCCATTCGTTCCTGATCTTGCGAAATAAAGACTTTTGCCTGTCTTCCGCGCGGCTTTATTGTAGGTCTCCTTGCTGTTGTGGTATAGCTGTTTTTCGCGCCTGCTAAGCTCCTCAAACCTCGGGATAGAGGTGAATAATAAGCTTTATCATTGATAATATCAATAGACTGTAGCCTCTTGAGGATGAAAGCCACATACTCATCGACAATAACAATAACCCACGCGGTATCCCGAAAGAAGATGAAACCGTAAACCCCGACTTGCTCGTCTCTCTAAATCTAAATGTTATCGTTTTCTTAAGAGGACGTTAAGATGGACATTTACCGCAACGCAAAACTTCTCAATGAGGCCCTTCGATGATGTAATGGTCGCCAACGCGGATACGAACCAGCAATCACCGAGTCCTCCCTGCACAAGATCATTGGCCTCAGCTCCGTCGATGAAAAACGACGGATTGTCGAAGATCTGCGTCGCGCGCAGCACATCTGATGGTCCATTGGGATCAGTGCTCTCGAGACCGTTCAAACACCGTTCGCGATCGGTCTCAAGATCAAACTCGATATCTCTTCAAATTTGAACAAAGTAAAGAACCGTGAGCTGGGGGTCTTCAGGGCATAAACAGATGACATAACAGACCTGAATTTCCTGTTTCGTCTTCGGCAGTCCTTGGAAATCTGGGAAACGCGCAACTTACACTCCTCGAGGGCCTTCTCCAGCTCGTCTGTGACAAGTAGACCACCCTGTTTTGGCTTCTGGGGAAACGAGGCTCGAACTGGCGGAGGTTGCTCGGGGGTAGTCTTGACGCTGGGAGGAACTTGACGTCCCTTTCGGTTCTTCGATTTCACCATTGATAAGTCTGGCAGAGAGAATATCTGAGGGAGAGGTGTGATAGAGAGGTGTGATAGCAGAGGTGTGATAGCAGAGGTGTGATAGCCCTGTTCCACCCAGCGCAGCTGTTCTTATAATCGCGCCGCTGGTGATCAACGCTGGACCAGGAAACATCACATTGTGCAACCCTGTGGTCGTGGGTGCGTGTTCTGCCCTGTGGAACGGCTACAATTGGACGGATTGGGCAGAAGCGGCCTAAGAATAGCAGATGAATTCAATCCGACTGGCGTATCAACATCACAGAATTGAGGAAACTCTGGTATATATTATAACGCTAGATAAAGGTGTGTGAACACCTTGTAATAAATTATCAGACCTTATCAGACCTTCACCGACCTTTATATAGCAATATCACGATCCTCACAATTTCCTGATGAATAAATCAATTGTGATCAATGACACTGCCTACAGTGCTTTGGGCCTACATAGGGAATTTCCCGGAGCACACGGCTCATCAGAGGTGCTTTTACGGTGTTGAGATCTCTTGGCCTTATAATGTGCCGTCTTCGTCGGGGCTCGACGATTCGAGGTTAAGTATGACTGAAGCTGTTGCCAGCGAGTTCGTTGCATGACAGAGAAGTATAGAGTAGCGGTTCCTCGTTTTGAGTTAAGAATGGATCCGATTTTACTGGCTAGGAAGACGACAGTAAAACTTGAGTATAGTTGGATTTTCTGAGTGATGGCAACATGAACGTTCAACAGGGAGGTTCAGGGTCTTGGAGAAGTCGGTAACTTGAAAAACAAAGAGAGAAAAAAATGCGCACCAAAAACCAGATTCATTAGCCCACCGCGAGGGTCGAACTCGCAGCCTTCAGATTATTACACCTCTCGTAAAAGTCTGACGCTCTGGCCGATTGAGCTAGGCGGGCCATGACCTTAAAGATTACCGTGTACTATCAAACCCTAACCCTGTTATGCGGGTTCACAAGACTGCCCAGCACGATGTTGAGACATCTTCTCAACTTCGAAGGACGCAGTAGTGTGAGTTTCTCAGTAAACTCCTTTCTCTAGTCTTACATGATGAAGAATCCAGAAATTTCACACGATGAACAGGTGCGTATACTCTATGAGCATCCGTCAAAAAAGTGACCCGAAAGTCACATTCCAGATCGAATACTTGGAATCACAAATTCAGGCATACAAGGCCAGGATATCGGTTCTCCAGCAGCAGAAAATCTCAGCTCTTGATACATTGGATGACCTGGTGCAGCAGCATAAGCAAGATTTAGACCAGGAATCGACTGCTAGACAACTCTTGGAACACAAACTGTACAAAAATCGAGAAATGCTACGGGCAGTCGAGAGAGAGCGCGATGAACTACGCGATGCCGTCTTGGAACTCATTCAAAAAGGTTTGCAGTCCTTTCACCTATTCAGTTTAACATTAACATACTCGCAGTCGAAAAGAGCCAAAACGACTTCAAGTCATGGCCGTGCAGTAAACTTCAACTCTCGAGTTATACAGGTACGTTTTCCCTTACCTAGAAAATCAAATTATAGAACCCTACATCATCCACAGACCCTGTCGGGGCACATCACACACAGCCTGACCATCACCATGAGCTGCAGGAGAACCTCACATATGCGGAAGGAATCATCCGCAGCCTCAAGGACGAACTACAGCACGAGCGCCAGGCGCATGCGTTGACTCGCGTTCGCATCCGTACGCTTGAGGCTCAGGTAGCGAGCCGCGATGCCGCTCTAGAGGCATTGACTCAAGAAATATCTCCTACAACAGTCCGAAATGAGAATGGCCAGAGGAAAGCCAGGCCTGAGTCGCAACGAGACTTGGACCATGCGGAAATCTCGTCGTTATTCATTCAAACTGTCAAGAACAACAGAACCCTGGAGCAGGAGATCCGCTGTCTCTTCGAAAATGTGCGTTCGGATCAGCTATAAGGATCGCGTCTAACATCACGGCAGCTTGAACGGGCCCGACTCAAGACAGAGGCACCACTAGGTCCATCAACTTCGAGTTCGACTCCACTTCACCGCCAACCCATAGGACGGCCACATCCCAAATCACCTCATCGTGGGCGGAGCAGAGAAAGGAAGGCATCTCATGCCGTATCTCCTCAACGCCATAGTTGTACACCGTCTTTGCGGCATCAAACGGACAACCCACCCCTTCTACCCGCCCACGTCATAACCGAGTCTAGCACCGCCCCTCCTATCGCTAGGCGAGCTCCCAGCACAAGCGAGGCCTACTCCCCTAGGCTAGGCACGCGAAATGAGGCCAGTAACCACATTCCCAATACGAGCAAAGCACGGCCTCCAGTTTTATCGGGGGCAGGACGTCCCCGTCCTTCTCCCAGAGCTACTAGCACGCGACAGCCTGAGTCTCGTGCTCGACCTGACGAGCACCACGCCGCTCCATCATCCTCCAATATCCTCCAACATCTGGACGACCAGATACGCCTACTCTCAGCGCAGATCGATGCTTTCCATGCAGAACGCGCTGCCCTGGTCGACGTCATCAAATCGCAGTTACATGACTCATCTGAGGTTCCCCGTTCGAACCATGTCACGTCTGACTTGCAAGCCTCCCCTAACATGGGGTCCCGACAATCGGAATCAGTTAGAGCTGAGGATTTGGATACTGAAGGTGGTGAACGTTCCATGGAACTTGAGACCCCCCTCTTTCCTGCTCTTATGACATTCCCCATGTTAGATACCGCTCCTGCACCCGGGGTCTCTCAGACTCCTGCTCCGACGGTCCCTCGTCCCAAAAGTCGGGCTAATAGACTCAGCCCAGACGTTACACATGCACCGGAAGTTGTGATACCCCCTAGTATTCTTCAATTACTCCCAGATAGGGTCAGTACTGAGAATGAGAATGAGATTCTCATGATTCCTCCACGTGTTGGTCTGTCTTCGTCTCCGCCTCCGCCACCTCCATAACCCAGCCCGTGACTCGAAGATGTCTGATTTGATTTTGGCTTGTAACTTGACGGCTCCGAGAGTGTGCTCGCATGCATCGGTTGTTCATGTACCTTGTCGTTCACCAACCCCCATACGTTAGGGTACTAGACTAAATCGACTGAGGATGGCTACGATAACCGCCTACCCCACTTCTTGAGGCCTCGATGTCAATCCGCTAGGATACTTATGTACCTATCTGTATCATTGGCATGCGCTACAGGCGGTTTAAGTTGTGATGACTGGCACAAAAAATATGTATTACTACTAGCACTCACAAGCAAAAATAGTAGTTTTCAAAAGTTCAAAATCACTGGTCTGAATCATGCATGAGTAATTTAGATATCAATATGTATTACTCGATTTGAGGAGCAAAAGTTTCGCTCATTCAATTCCTAAGTAGCCCACCGCGAGGGTCGAACTCGCAGCCTTCAGATGCCACTGCCTATGTAAGAGTCTGACGCTCTATCCGATTGAGCTAGGCGGGCCATGAAATTAAGAATATCAGTGATTCACCATCTTGGTTTCCAGCGGTTCGAGAACTCTTTTAAAACCTCTGGAAACTAACGGAAGCATAAAGATAATGTGACCAACTAAATGTAATTATGAGGTTTCAATCATTAACCATTTTATTGAGTTTCCAGGCTCCTTAGCTTCGTTTCTAAAAACCAAGAAACCCACAAAAACTGATGGAAAACAAACTCATGCAACTGACAGTCAAGACTCAAGGAATTCTGCTGACATTTAGATAGTTATAGAAAAGCTATTCAAAAAAGAAATCATGTTCCCAAGGAAATCGTTCACAGCCTAACCGTGGCAAGGCATTATAGCGCTTGTATGCTGTTAGTTACCACCAGTCCATCTGAATGGGAAATCTCGTAAGTCCTTATTCCAGGAGGGGACATGTGAAGGAGTCTTACACTGCAGGTCCTGGAATTGGGTAGATCTGCATTCGAGATGAGTGGCGCAAAAACAGATACACGATATTTACATACAAGAGGAGAGTCTGGAAATGGTGTGGCGTGAGGACCAAAAAAGAAACTTAAAACGGAGTAACGTACTGTTGTAAAGGTCGAAAACTACCCCTTGAAACAAAGGCACTCAGTTGATATGACGCGGCAACATCAGATATTAAAATGAGGATATTACCTGGAGTGGTTGGCGTATACGCGCCAGGGAAGGAGACAAAAGACGTCGGCAGTGCAGTACCAGTACCAGTCACCTCAACTTGAATGCAGCTGGGGTAGAACTGAGCGCCAGGATATGAGCCGGCTGTTTCCTGGTTAGTAAAAAGCAGATCCAGTAAGAGCCAAGGCTTTCGTACCTGAGTGTAGTGCGATGCTATTGCGTTCAAGGACATGATTTCAATATATCAAGAAGCAAACTGGTTATATATTGTTAGTTACTCGCCTTTCGTGCCGAATGATATATTGTCCGGCTTTGAGCTTGGGGGGAATCGTGAAAGTGTAGATAGAATTTGTGGCGTAGAGACCATCGGTAGCAGCCCATTTGCCGTTCGCATCTTTCCCAGCCTGGGCAACCTTGAACCAGACAGCCCTGAAATTAAGTCAAGTTATTTTCAATATGTCACAAAAAATATTCTCGACGGCTTACGATGTTCCCGGGTTCCACTTGGTGATGTCAGAGGGAGCGCGAGCCATGTAAGTAATCAACGGTCCCCTGTGACTGTCTGGCCAGGCAGTCCAGTTAAGCTTCACCTGCGAACCCGCTGCCACTGTGCCGACCAGGGGGGCCGGTGCTGACCCAACGTATTGGGGACCACCATCTGTCCAGCCATTGCATTGCAAGCTGTGCACGGACCCGTCGTCAAATTCGACAGAAAAAATAAGTGAGACGGGGCATACTCAATCAAAGTGAGATCCTGGACGGGACCTGATAATTACTGAGCGCAGACGTTCATGATCTAATAACAAACAAATTGACCGTTTCCTGGTATCTTGCGGACAATCCTCTGAGGAGTGGGGTTCCAGTAGCTGAGCAAGGGGCGAAGAAATATTAGTCGAAGAATTAGAAACAGAGGCTATGGCCCACGGATCAGAGTAGGGAAGGTATCCCGTATATTTAGTGGAACCAAGAGTGATTTCTTGGACATATCCATGAGCCTTCACAGAGCTAGAAAATCCAAGGATGGTAATAGCGAGGGCGAGGGCGTTCTTGAACATTGTAGGTTGCTGTTGGATGTAAATCCTAATCGTTGGTTTCCTTAAATACGTTAGAGGAAATAAAAATAAAAGATGGAGTACAAGCACGCTCAGACTCTGAACCTCAAGGCGCGATCATAGGATGGGTCACGCAATATTATCAACAATGAAACGGATCAAGTGATGCAAAATTAACGCAGCAAAGATATCGATACGGTAGTGCGAGGGACGATTTCATCATTTTTCTGGCGCGGTCCTGGTGGCGTGATCCGTCAAAACAAGAGGGAGCTAGATTCCTCGGATAATGTCTGGCGTAAGCCTGGGACTTAAAGAAAAAAGACGGCCGCCTATTCATCAAATCGAAAGGCGTAAAACCACATGCTAGGTAATCTTTAAGGTCAAGTCGATGTAAGCGGATAAAGTCTCTGAAAATAAACACGCACCAGGATAGATGGCGCCGAGATTTTTGCTCAATATTAGCGAGTCACCTAAATCTTGGATCCTCGCTATTTTGACTCATTATCATTTAGATACGATACGGAAGGAGAAAGACTGGCATCAGGATCTAGATGTCCCAGTCCTGGTAGTATGGCACCTCGCTCAGAGCGCCTATTTTCGTCGTAATGATCTCAGGTGTTTTTCAAAGCTTCAACCGGCTTGAAAATCGATGTCATCCCCGAGTAGTGAAAGTGGTGTTAGTGTTGAATTCTCCGTAAATGTATACATGGAGGCTTCTCCAAGTCCCAGGAGTAAATTGCATCAGAACTAAAAAATACATTCGACAACTT